AAGCGTTTCGGCCATTCATTCGGCGGTGCGAATAATCGTGGGCTCTCGCGATGCTGCTTTTACGATCTTTTGCGATATTCGAACGAAATCTTAACGAAAACGTCGTATTTTGTACATTGCTGTATCAAAAATATTCGAGAGCGATATGAATATATGTAGTTCTTCTCTTGGTTTCTGTTTAAATATCAGTGCAAATGTGAAAGTTACTTTGAATTGATAATTATTCACGGCAACCTAGGTGGCCTCTTTTAGCTGAGGCACCCTGTACATTTAAAAAAAGAGACTCAACAGCATATTATATATTTGTATACTGCCATATAAAAAATAATAGAGACTAGAAATATACAAGTACTATATTTTGTTCCCTCGTTTTTTATGGGCAACGCATCTCGACTTTCGTACGGAAAATCTGCTCGACGAACAAGACTGTTCTTTAATCAATCTCTCGAATGTCGATGGCGAGCCCATTTCGACCCAGAGTTACAAATGTTCCAATTAATTTCTATCTTTGTGAAAGCCATTTTGAACGGTTCGCTGTTACCATTGAGTCTAATAAGAGGATTAAGCTTAGCTTCAATGAAATGAGGTTGAAAAATATATAAATAGAAATGGATGGGAAAGATTCGAATGGATCCAGCTGTGACGGCAGTAACTGATTAAAAAATGTCCGCCGTGCAAACGTTAATTGACGGAATTTCTAGATGCATTTTTGTACGACCGGAGTACAAGAGTCCGAGTTTTCGTGCAGCTCAATGGAGGGTTCTATCTGTGTTATTTACACGCCGTCTCGGTGTGTAATAAACTCGTGATTATTGTTACTATTGTTGCGTTATTATCGTAGCATAAGCGACGAGGTTGTTCCCAAGGTCGGGTCTAAAAGCAAAATAACCGAACGAGAGAGAAAGAAAGGCGGGAGAAAAATAATAATAATAATAATAATAATGATGAAGCAGGCGGGGACCCAGGAGCGAGTTTGAATATTGATTGGCTGGTAGCGGTAGGCTTGATAATGCCCGGCCAGATAAAGGGGAAAGTTATCAGCGGCGGAGTTTCTCGAGAAACAAAAGCGCGGTCGTGATTTACGAACGTCTTCCTCGAAAAAATTACAAGAACGTATGTACGTGTGTATCCCTGGGTCTCGGCGACGATAAGGTCGTGCTTTCTTCCATCTATTTACAGTTCTTAAAGAGACAGTCCATTATCAGGCATTGATAAAGAATCAGTCGCTAATCGCGCGGGCTCTCGACGCTCTGCGAAAACTCCGAATCCCGCTGTTGCTGCTCCCGCGAAACTCTGCTCCCGCTCGTCGGACGAACTCGTCCTCGTAAAAATTCGAAGGATTCGGAGAACAATTCCGATCGCGGGATCCCGAGCGGATCGCGGCCCGGACGATCGAAGAACGCGAAAAGCGGAAGGTATATCGACGCGGTTCGCGGAAATGATAAACTGCATTTCGATCGGAGCGCATTCCGCGTCGCGCAACACCGTGGATCTTCGTTTCGAAAGCGATTCCCGGTATCGATCACCGTATCCCGAGATTTCGAAACCCGATTTCTTCGATGGTACCTTGCGGTACCAATATTCAGTGTCTCCGGCTTCGAGGAGCACGCGCGCGACGTTCTAAAAAACACATTCCCCTTATCCCTAGCCTTCAACTTTAATCACCTCCAGTATTTTAGCTGTCATTGATGACGTTTCAGTGCTTCTAGAATCGCCAGCAATTCTTAAGGATGCACAGAAACTCCTGAAGAAAATCTACGCGAGCGCTACATGATAACTGAAATTTATACTAAAAGTTCATCACAGATTTACAATTAATTTTATCCTCGAATATGAAATTAATTTAAATTTCTATTAAAAATCCATTAAATCCATTAAAACGATCCATAAAATTCTCGCTTAAGACTTAGCTAAAAGCTCATAACTTAATTTCCTACTGAAAATCCATCATAATTTATAATTTATATTCGGATCTCTATTAATTTGTAATACAAATTTATTATATTTTATATCACTCGCATCGCTTAAATTTCTAACAAAAATTTACCACAACTCAAATTTATGATAACCATCGAGCGTGATTAAAGACTAGAACAACCGAGTGCTCAACTAATTTTGCTTTGCCTTTTAGGAACAACAAAATACCGGTTTGATCGTGGTATTGCACGATTTTTCTTACATCGTTCTTCTTACAGTCCAAAGAATGATCTATGGCCGTTCATTGGAAAAAAAGGAAAATGACGGCAATACGGAGATTGTGTACCAATTATTTCTTCCACGATGAAGAATGTGTCGAGCAATTATAATATCAGGCTCAGTGCTTCTTGCCGCCGTTTCTAGCTTGTTCATCGCGCGTGAACGGTTCCCGACAAGAAAGCCGAGTCACCGAGAGAATCCAGCCGGCGATCGGGAGCTGCGTCGCAAAACGCGACGGCGAATTGGCGATCGCGCGAAAGCCTGGTAGACTTGGGTCGTATATTTTTCAAGAAGCGCGAGTCTCGCGGCGGGCTTAACGAATCCGCTCGTCATTGTTTGGCCGTCAATTGGTAGACAGAACAAAGACTACGGGGGAACGTTCAAACAGCGATTCTTGTACGCAAACAGCTAGTAGAGCTGCGCGTCGACATTCGTTAAATCTCGCCCGCAGGATAAACAACCGTATAAATAAATTTGTCGAGCAGGAACGAACGGACGATAAAACGGTGACGCGGTGCAACGACCAACCGCCGCCGATAATTTCGATGCGTGAAGCAACGTGCACAGCTGGCTCTCGATCGGCCTCGATTTCAAACCTCTGTGCAGAAATTACTCGATCGAACGAACTAACCAATTCGATTATCCGTACGTTTGAAACGGAAGTCTTTGTGGTCGACGATAATGGCGAATCTAACAATAAAACTCGCGATACATCGAGAAAATGTTCATCTGCGACACGGAATATGTTTGCCTTCTTTATAAAAAAAAAACCTCGCAATCATTCCGAAACGTCGTGCAACAGTTTTTGGCAACCTCCTTAGTTCAACGATCATACTCGCGGTTTCGGATATTCTCTGTCATAACCGCGAACGTTCGAACATCGGGATACAGTTCGTAAATTCTGCGAAACAGCGTCTCGTTCAACGTGCGAATCGTATCTTTAGGTTCAGCGATCATTCCGAAACGAGTCTCGAAAGTTCGACGGTAACGTCGTCGATTCGTTAGCTCGAACATCGAGAAAGAATGCTGCGAGCGTTATTAAATCTATCGTCGAACGAACGAAAACATTCCGAGTTTTCTAGAGTCTTTTCGAGTTCTCCCAAGAACGCGCGCCAGCGATATATTTTTTTTTTACGACGGTGACGATAAGGAACCTAAGCGTCGCCTCGGGGTTCTTTCGAAAGAGATCATCGACTATCAGTCGCGATAAGGGATTTAACAGCCGTTGCGCGGAAACCACCACGCTAATTACGCTGGTGTTCCGTTCTCTGTTCTCTTTGTCTGGTCCTAATTTATTTCGATGTATCTAATCGGCGCGATTTGGCCGCCTGTACAAATTAACGGACGCTTATATTCCATCGAATTCGTTGATCGAGCAAGCCGGAAATGCGTTTCGGGCTGCTTCGCGTCCAGAACTCGCGAGCAACAACTTCGAATTCGAAACGGTTAAATTTAGAACTCCGCGAATAAAATAATGCGCTGCCCAGGCGCCGGGAGCTAGAGCTTGTTTTGCATTCTTCATTTAACGGATCGGTAGGGATTACGGTTTTGGAGCGTTGATTATGGTCGAAAGTCCCTATTATTCTAATGCACGTTGCGTTCGAAAGTAAAGCAACGTCTCGCGTTTGCCGGATCAAAGTAGAACGAACAGCCTCGAGTTGCCGACAAAAAGCAGCAATAATTAATACGGAGTAAAGTCTAATGAAATACTGAGAATAATGATTTCTCGCGTCTCGAGTTAAGTAGATGATAGTATAAACGCGCAATCTCTGCACCGCGATTAAAATGCGTCGGAAGACGGCATAAATGCCGACATGCAAATCACGGCATTATTATTAATCGTAATACACGTTTCAGCTACCGGAAGTCTATTAATAGATAGTTCAATGATTAAGCGAATAACTTGTCCATGTACGAATGCGGCTTGCCTGAAATGTTAACGTTTTTTTTTTACATTTGAAAGACTATTAAGTCATCACACCGGTAGGTAAAATGTTAACTTTTCCCCGCTGATCCCTGACTTTTCCTTCTCGTAGATTCTTTCTTGTCGTGAAATTATATAATTGCCGGGTAACAGATAAACTGTCAACGTTTTCAAATCTAATGATATGTCTTGTTTTTCCTACGGGTGGACTAGTCCGAAGATTTATGCAAAGTTGTTTAATCCTCTGAAATGATTAGGAACGGGTTACGCTTATTAACGCAATTTCCAACTTTCAATAATATTACTCAATCATGGCAGCGTTAAGGGAATGGAAACGCGTACGAGTGGTGCAGCAGGATTGACAAAATCATAAAAAGTATTAATAAAACGCGTTTAAAAACGAATCATGAAAAAAGTGTGTAATAACAAATTAATAACAAATCAAAAGAAGAAGTATTAACAGGGTTCGAATAAAATGATGGAAACATTCTGCCTATAGAACATTTATTAAATAAATTCTGGATCGTGGTTTTCTTCGAGCATTCTTTCCCGTAGAACAATCGTTAAATAAATTCTAGGCGATGGCTTGTATATCTCTAATGAAACCATTTTCAATGATCATTTATGACAGCAATACTGAAAATAATCTCTTTCATGAGAAAACTTTTGAGACAGGTTACCAAAGGTAAGATTTCTTTTCGCAGAAGAACTCTGTAAATACAGATATTTTCTCTCTTTGGGACCGGAGTGATTCTATTAGCGGGATAAATTCAAAAACTAAAGAATGTTTCCGGTATGCTCGGAGTTTCCATGATTTGATCGAACACCTGTGCAGAGGAGAAGAGAGGAGATAGAACCGGTGAGAAAGCAGGCGACTTACCTGGGAGCATTGATGATTGGTTGTCCCATTGCCCGTGGCTGGCGCTTCTCGTTACTGGGAAGGCGCAGGTAATCTTGGTCGCCAAAGAGGAACAGATCCTTTGAAATAATCATGTCCACCGTGTGGTTGCCGGTTATAGCTGCCCGCCTCTCCCGCTTATCTTTCGCTCACTGGCTGTACACCACTGGCTGAACAACGCGCTCTGTTGACGAGAGCAGGACGGGAAACGCGTACTGAATAATATTCGCACTGTTGTCCCGCTGCCTAAATACGTTCAAACCGATCCCGACCGAGCAACAAGATGATGCACCGCGACGTGAGACCTGCTGCCGGCGTCGTCGACGATCGTCAGCAACGGTGCATTTTCGCCAGCGATCGCTGCTGCTGCTGCTTGCGTTACTATCGCTACCGCGATTCGACGCCGATGATTCGAAACGATCGCACCCGGTCGCGAGCATTAAGTCCGCGGTTTACTCTAGGATCCGTCTACGCGTCTGGATTATATCTACTCTTCAATGCGTGCGCCGTCGCTTGTGACTGTGGGCTATGGCCTGTGTGTGCGTGACAAATGGTAACACAACGTCATAGACGAGGAGAGAGTAATCGAGACTTCGATGATTTCGCAGCAAACGAGGAGAACCGTTCCCTGCTTCGGCGTTGTTTGCTCGAGTCTCCTCCCGAGAGACCTCTTTGGTACGAATGATTTATCGCGACAGCGTAATCAAGTTCGAGACTACACCGCGATCGCTGGATCTCCGGATTGGTCGGCTACGAAAGGCAGAGACGTCTCCTCTCGTCCGCTATCTGGAAAAGAAGAAACAGGATTTTAGTCGGCCGAGTTGCCACGGATTCTACGATACAAGAAAAGAACGCTGCCGATCCTAGAAACACCCGGGCCTCGCGCTCAGCTTTATCTGCGTACGTAACTATATCTTCTTCTAGGCCTTGTAAAGGCGATCGCGATCAGTTTTTTAAGTACTATTATATTTAAAGGCCTCGTCTACCTAAGGTGCTTATTTGTATAGCTTATTCTAGGTCCTCGAAAGGAGAAACCTATTAACATATATTGACTGTCACGCCAGAGTCTATGAGGGTTACACCAAATAACTTATTATAAAAGATCAGATTTATTACATCAATTACACCTTGTCGGTCCTAGCAAATTTTCAAGTTTGATAAAAAGATTGTGTTACCTATACATGACCTACGTTGCGGTTGACGTGTTATTAACAGGATTCCGGTGAATATAGTGATCAAACGTTTTCGCGCAAGGGTTGAAAGCTCCATAAGAATCTCGATCCTGTCGAGAAAGGAAAGATCGAGTTTCGGTCTGCTCGTGATAGAGTAAACTTGACTGGACTGGACTCGACGCAGCAACGAGTCAATTTTAATAGCAGCATGCGTGTTATAAGTTTAGAATTACGAGCGTTTCGTTCCGGTATCGGTGCTCCTGCCCTCCTATCCGATATTCGCGCGTAGAATGCAGGCTCGCGGCTCGCGACTCACGACGAATGCCGCGAATCCGCGGGCTGTGGCCACAACGCTGCCGTTCATTCATGATCGCCTATTGCTACCGGCGAAGGTAATCGTGTCTGGTAGGGTAATTCGTTACCGTTGACGAGGCCAGCAAAAACAGAACGAACGTTTCTCATCCGTGGGACTGTTATTTTCAACGCTGCGCCGCCTTCTCCCCCTTTCCTCCCTTTTCTCTACCCCTCGAGCTAAGCGAATCAATGGCACAAGTTAGTCGGAAGTCGTTGCCGACGATAGGACCAGTTTCATTGTAAAGCAGATACCAGATAGTCGAGATAGGCTGAACCCGCGTTCTTCCGCTTTTACCAGCTCCAACAGACTGCATGTTTACTAACTTACAACTTCGCCACCATGACTCTTCCAATGCTATACGTTTATGCGCCTGAAGACTCTGATTACGCCCGTGTTCTAACAGAGGGTACAAGCGAAGATTAAACTGTCCTAAGCATCCTGAGAAAACTAGATAATAAATGCTGGATGTGTTAACGATTCAGTGGAAGGAGGACCATTGGAAATGTTATAAAACATTTACCATACGCGAAATATTAATTAATCCTGCGGTTATTCCTCTTATTGGACCCAATATGCATAGCTAACTGTGTCAACTGATTGCTACAATAATCAAACTTTTATGAAAGCATTGTTGATTCTTGCGTACGTGTTAACATAATTTTGCACATTCCCTGTAAACCAAAAGAAATATTGGCGAATTAATTCGGCAAAGAAAATTTGTTTGACAAGAATGCAAGAAAATATAACGCGTAAATGTTAGTAAAAACGATTAAAAAAAAACATTTTTCTAAAAAATTCGAGTATATTAAACCCGTAAGTCAGAAATATTCCTGATAAAGGAAATACTTATATAGAAAACGAAACTAACTCCTGGTTTCCTAAAAATTTAATGTAATCGGAAGTGGTTTTATTTCTGTAAATATTTGCCGAGCAATATTTGAAACCTGACTGATCTGTGCGATAGAAAGTGTTGGACTATAGCCACTTGCTCGTGGCAGCGGCCGTCAAAGTACAAATAAGCGATATCTTCTCTCTCGCGCGCACGTTATTCTAAAACGAAAAGATACGTGTTATTGTTTCGAAAGAAGCTCCGTTTCCAACAAACAACGTCTTGGCAGATTCGACGACATAGAGCCGTTCGATCGGTGGAAAAAAGAAAAAGAGATTTGATTCAATTTCGCGAAACAGAAATACAGGTATATGTACGTAAATATATAGGTTACCTATTTTCGTCCAACTTCTAGTTGCAGGTTGCCACGCCGCCGGACTGGCTTCCGAATTCTTTGCATAATCAAAATCGCCGGCAATCAGCCTTTAGAACGGCTGTTATTTATCGGCAAGATTTGTTAACCGTTTAACTGTGGTTCGCGCGCATCGGGAACGAAGACAAACATGGCGGGTGGGTTTGGAGGGGCCGGGGGGGCAGGCAGGGGGAGCTCGAGTGCAATGGTCGTGCATGTTGCGTTTGAAGCTGACGAAGTAAATCGAGCGGATATACGCTGCGCTCATGAGAACTCGTCCCATATTTACATCGCGCCAATTTTCACCCGCCAACTGTTAAGCATTAGACACGGATGAGTGGCGTATATACGACACCGGTCATCGCCGCGCAGGATCTCGAACGCCGCGCCCCTAATTAGTTGATTCGAACTAGATCGAAGCGCGAGATTTGAATTTCACGGTCAACGCGGGAAGACGATCGCCACCGATGATGCATAATACACGCTGATCTACATTATTCCGCAGAGTGTCAAACGCAACTGGGACGATTTTGTATCTTTAAAACTTTACGAATGGTGCGATCGCGCAAGTGCACACGAAATGCTTTTAGAGTTCAGTTTGTTCCGCTACATCTTTCTCCAGTTCGTCCCAGTTAAGTGGGACACGTGACACAAGGGAAGAACACGTGACCAAGCGACAGGTCTTATTTCGGTTAATTATTGATCTCTTAAATGATTGAAGCTCTAAGGATTTAACTAGTGTTTTCATAGCGGACTATTTGAAAGAAAATTATTCAGGTATCGATCTCGTGTAGTCACATTTCTCGAAATAGGTGAAACGCTAACCTAATTACATTCGATGCAGTTGCCTCGGGTTAAATTGAAACGTTAGTAGTGGTACAAGTCGTACAGGTTGATTCGAATTTCGAGAATTTCGTAAGAAAATATTTGTTGGCAATTGTTTCTACCTGTCGCGTTTCAGACCACCGTGGAGCTGTCTCCTTCCATTTCCGTTCGGTGACGATTTCGCCAAGCGTGTCAACCTTCGAACGTGAAATTAGTACCAATGAGTGACGCGACGCTGGTGCTCGTCGACAACTCTCATCGCAGCGCTGTGATCGAAATCAAGAACATTGAGGAAGGTAATGGTACATTCGTGAAAATAGTACCGTTAATTCCGCGCGTCTCGACATGTGTGCGCGATCGTGAATAACAACTAAATAAACTAGCGCGTGTACGAAACTTTATTGGTGCTCCTCGTTTTGCTGACGCGCGCGCGAAAGCTCAAGATTTGTTTACGTCGAAGACGGTCGATTTGAAAAATGGATCAGAGAAATTGTTCATCGATACGTATCAATAAGGTATATATATACTAACTTATTTTACCTATATCGGCGAAACAAAGTAGAACGTATATGTAGCATTTCGAGTAAGTTCAAAGAAGAAATACATACATAATTTCCGAGTAGGAACTATTGCATCGTGTAGAGGCTCCTCTGCGTTTGCAGTAATACTAAAAATATCTTCAACAACGTACATTTTATCAATGACAATATACGATAATTAAGAGCAATTATCTCATCGAGTGTAGTAGCGTCTCGTATCGCGGGAGCAACGATCTCGTCCATTAAACCGTCAGATCAATGAACACTCGATAACCACAAACGAGATTACGAGTTTGAATTTCGATGGATCGTCCACTCGACGATTAGGTATCCGCCACTTGCATCTGGTATTTATAAATACACTTCGACGAATCTCTTTACACCTTGGCCGAAGAAGCATTCTAAACAAAACGAACTTGCGCGCTTCTAATGATTTTTCCGTCTTGGAATTATCGTCAGATGTCGTCATCTTTGTTTGTATCGCTCGAAACAATCGAACGATAATCGAAATAGTCGAATGTCGATTAATTCAGCCGCCATACTTAAATCAAATTTGTTGAAAGAAAATTTGAAGAAACGTTTCGTTTTCTTTCTTTTTTTTTTAACTAATAGTAAACGATGACTTTGGCGTAGTAAAAAAAAATCATAAGAATCTGAAGGATATTCAAGGTCATACTTTTCACAAACACACGAACGCTTTAAAGTAGACTTCCTGACATACAAATACCATCGCCTGTTTATTTCGAATATTATGAACGAGATTTGTTTGCACTCGGATGAAACCATTCTTGTTCCCTTGAATAAACTAATTGTCATGCAATTGAACGAGCAAGAAGAGAGAGAGAGGGAGGAGGGAAAGAGAAGGAGATAGCGAGCGAACGACAATGTAGGGGGAAACTAATTTGGCACGGACAAAGGAAACGTTACATAAACAATGCAAACGACCGTTTGACAGTGCGGCCGTGTGACTTAACTTTTTTTTCTGCTTCCTCGTCGACTAATTATCTCGCAATCGACAAAAATACGTACTTATCCTGATTTACTTGATTAGAATATACAAGCCAGCCTGTTGGATCTGTTCCAAAGCGAAGTTGTTCGATTCGGCGCTATATATCGACGTAATCGATGTTTCCCGAGCTTTGAAAATCAAACATACACCTAATTGAAATAACTTGCCGTCGAATAAACACGCCATCATAGTATTAACACACGTAGAATTAACATCGCAAGGGTCATTTTGCAAACTACATGTGCGTATCTTTTACGAACGAACACCAACTTTTCATACCTTGCAAGTTTCATACCGACAAGAGAAAGGAATAGAGGATTAGTCATATGACAACAGCCTCTGATGCCGTGTTTACGCGAACCTTATCCGAATTTCTTCCTATCAATCTGCCCCTGTTTTTTAGCTTAGATATTATTTCAGCTTATTATTTTATTTTATTTAGCTTATTATTTTAGCTTAGATATTATTTTTAGCTTATTTTCGACAAACGGACCACAGAAATAAAGACAGAGAGACCACGGTGATAAAGTGTCATCGACTCGTGGCAAAGTCTGTTATTCTTTGATTAGATATGAAATTAGAAACTTGACGAGCAAAGTAGCAAAGTGAATTTTCTTTTGAGGAGAGATACGATGCAAACAACCTGTGCCAAATTTCGTTGATCTCCATCCCTAAACGATTCGATGTTATTTAAATATTATATAAAAATTATAATTATGACGGAACAAACCCTTAATTAAGAATTATGATGAAAATACGACGCTTGTAATATCTACGGTAGGTAAGGTCAGCACTTTGATGATAAGGTCATTACAAGAACGGCGTACCTGTCTTTCGGTCGGTCGTTCCCGGCCGTAAATTTTTAACGATCGTATATCTGTTGTCGATAAGATCATCAGAAACGGCGCGCGTAAATCGCTTTCGGTAGAGTTGCAATTTTCGACCATGAAAGTATCGCAGAAACGTTGCGTTACATGCAATCGTGAAGACGATAAGAACACGTCCCACAAACCCATCTTCAACAGCGACAATGTACTAGTTGTGCCACAATCAAGATGCATTCTTGAAACAACACGGTAAACGTACAGATAACCTTCAAACGAGAAAACTCCGGTTGCAGTGAATGGCCCTATGCCCTTGACAACCTCCAAACAAGCTCGCCCGATTTCAAGCTCAAATTAAAAACGCATCGATCGAGAATGCGATACTAATCATTGAGCACCGTGAAAATGAAAAATTGAGTCGATTTAATGCTGTAACCGCAATCCATCGTGGAAATCTCCGGATAACAAGAATCCCCGAAGGTTTAAGACACACTGTGAAATCTCTGAAAAATTGCTTTCAACCCTTGAGCGTTGACACTCAAATAATTACATCGATACGATTAAATAATTATCAACACGAATTTAAACGTGTAATTGTACCGTATATCTTAATAATCGCCGGGTGCATTCTCGAGATATTCGACTTTTTATAAAGTGACCGAAATCTCTGAAGATTCCGATTGTTCAAATTGGTTGGTTGCGATCGATACATCGGCGATAAATCGATCTGAATTGGACGGAGGCGAGTCTTTCGCGAGAAGAAAACCAATTGCGACGATAAAATTGTATCGTCGTTGAAAAAAGGTTCGTATAGACTTTTCTCACCTAAAAAGCGGCTTTTAGATTCCCAGTGTTGTTCGTCGTTATCGTAGCTTCGATCGAGAACCCGTCCTCGATCGGCAACCGGGAGCACCGAAGAAAATTTCAGTGGGTCTCGGGTTCGACGTTAGCCGGTATCTTTGGCCTCGGCGTTCTCCTCCTCGTAGCTCCTGTCACACATGCACTGTGCACCGGCCACGAACATGCGGCCATTGCGCGGCGCGCAGTCAATGAACCCGCATTGCTTTTCACCCGGAGTCCCTCTGCGTTTTTTTTCGTCTTCCCTGGTTAAAGCCCCGCACGCACTATTGCCGGCCTCTATCCGCGGATCTTCGGCCGTACACTCACGACATATATTCCGGTGGCGGTTTTGCACGAGGAACACCCGACCCTCCCGGTGTCACTGGCTCTCTTGCCTCTTCCTGCGCCGTATCGTCCCCCTTTCTCTCTCTCTCTCTTTCTCTTTCACCCTTTTTCACTCTCTCGCCCTCTGTATACAGCTATGTATATATATATGTATATATGTATATATATATATATATACACGTGCAATATATATATATATATACATATATATATATACGTATATGTTACTCGTGCGCGCGCGCGTGTGTGTGAGAGATACGCGGGTGCGCACGCGCGTGTTCACGTCTCTCCTCTGCTTTCGCACGTGTATATACGTCGTCACGACGAAAATCCCTCTCTGTCTTTTATTTTTCTTTCTCTCTCTCTTCTTACCTTCGTACGGTCGTTCAGTGACCCACTCTCTTTCTCTGTCTGTCCGTCTGTCTCTCTAACACCGATACACCCCAAGGGCTGTGTGATTTTTCACTACTGTTTTTTTTTCTCTTCTTCTCTCTGTTTTCGTGACCGGCAATCAACCCGCCTCGAAACCAACGAGATACTATAGGGGGTAAGGGGTGAGCACGCTAGACACCGGATAAGGGAAAGCGCAGTGCCGTATCACGCGCACTCGCACGCACACGACTGACTCGTTACTGGAGCCTCGTGTCCCCCCCGAATGAATCGACCACAGCTTCGCGACGCGACACTCGCGGCGGTCGGATGCAGACTGAATCGGACGCTACGTGCCCCGCTCCTGTATTGCCGGAACGTCCCTCCTGTCCACCCTCCCTTCTTTCTCGCTCATTCCTCTTTCTCTTCCCCCTATTTACTTCTATCCGCGGTGGCTATCAGCTCGTGCCAGACCCCAGGCTCATTTTTACGGACGGCGCGCGAACACTCGCTCGGACTGCCGCGGAGGGGAAGCTTTTTCTCTTTGAGCTCTCGGCCAGGATCGCACGCCGGAGAAACTTGCCCATTTTCCTCCCTCTCCACCACTTCGCTGATCTGATCACGCAAAAAATGTGTTCTACGGTCATCCAGAATTTCCTACCCCGTGTCCAAAAATCAAAAATTTGATATTTTCTATCTCGTGCAATAAGATGGATCACGAATTGTAATTTAAAAATTATAAGTGGAAGATTTTGTCGAACAAAAATATTTCCAAGTAATCATTGCTTCTCAATCTTTTAATAGACGCTAAAACTTGTTCTAGTAATTTCTATTGAAAATAATTTCCTATCTTCTGGTTCTACCCTTCAGTCCGAAAAAAGGATTTAAAGAAAGAAAAGTCAAATTACGAACAAACAAGATTTAATATAAGCTGCCTGAGGTATCGATTACTGAGTTTCTCTTGCGGTCATTGACCTTTGATAAGTCTACAATTTACATGACATTTAATATATATATTTGTATATAATACACATATAATAAGCTTGATATTTAATATGGCAAAGCGATGTCCCATCGGTGACTTATGTCATAAAGTGAGTAATGTTCTATAAATATTCGTCATATTTTCTTTCAAGGAAAATGTCATATAACGTATTCGAATATGGAATCGCTTTTATAATGTTACTAAAATTAGGTTTAAGTTAACTTAATTATGTAGACGAGATCAGTCCAAGGATTCTATTGATTAAATACAATTCTTAAATACACTCTATTACAGTAGTTGCAAGAGGTTTAGAACTTTGTTAGAAATTATATATTTTTCGCTGTTTTTCACGTCTTCCTGGCAAGCTAAATCTATAATCGCGCTAAAATTGATAAGTAATATTAATATATTTTGATATAACCATATTGTATTCGTTCAAGACGTAAAACTTACTTTAAAAGTTCACCTTCGTAGCCATTCCATGCTACTGTTCCCGGGTGCGTTACTTTATACTCTAGTAGGTTATTAAATTCATTTTGAAGGCTCTATAATTACAATAAACGTACGTACACATATATGTTTTGAACAAATTTTGTACTGTACAAATATTCAATTCATTCATACCTGTATAAGTCGCGCAGTATGCAGACTGCATGCAATCTTTTCAGTACTCGTCAAATTGATATAATGAAGCTTGTTTCCTTTCGCTATGAAAAAAATACAACTATTAGGTATGCCTCAATAAATGTAATTTATAAACAAAACAAAGAAACCACGAATCTTACTTATTTGCTGGTTCCCAGCAGCAAATAATAAAATTGGAACGGTTACAAATGTGGTATCGAGCAAGTATGTTGACGAAGATCGTTGTTTTGTAAAATATGTAATATAGCGGCCAGGACAATGATAAATTTTATGATTTATGCTTGATGGATGTATGTCAACTCTATTATCCTCAGAAGTATAGAGGATTACTCCATGCTTCATTGCTAGCCTGAAAGTGATATTCATTCATTATGTATTTAAAGGAACATGAAATTAATTGTTCTTTGATAAATTGAAAACCATATATACCTTACTGTGGCAACATTCGGATACAATCCAGCACAAACTATCGCTTTCACCAACTGAATATTATCAGAATTCCTGTTAGCATTCTTATCCCTTGGGTTATCAGTTTCCAAAAACTTCATTTCATATAAGTATTGCGTGAACTGAGTTTTCATTTCAGAAAGGAGCTTCAAAGTGTTGAACGAAAGAAAATACTCCTTGCAGAAATTACTAGCATTTCTTTTTCTATAGAAATACTCAAACCTTCTTAAAGCCTCGGCAAGTGCAATGTGATCGCTGTATTGATTCATACCGAGTTCAAATTTCTTTCGGTTTGCTTCATCCTCTTTTTCCAAAGGACAGTAGAATGCATTCTTAAATGACAGACTTGCAGCAATCGCGAATACTGGTTCCACGCAGGAAAATAACGCTGCCCATATAATCATCTTTCCTATAATAAATAAAATATTTTGAACAACTTATTAGCAACATCATTGAAATATAAAATAAATTCACCTGTTCGTGGATCAACAGGCAATTGTGCCAAGTGATATCCTAATGGGGTCAAGTTTTCTTCACAATCCAATGCATTTAGTGTTGTAAGTAATTTTAAAGATAAGTCTATAGCTTTTGGATGAGGAGGATCCATGACACTACTTAGGAAAGAACTAGCTTTCCCTAATTGTAGCGTTTTTATTTGCAAAATTATCGTCTCTAAACGCGTTGTAAGCATTTCTGGTAATGGAAATTGTTCGAATGTCCTTTCTCTAGCTCTTGTGTAAAGGTGATAGCAAATGCCAGACTTTACTCTGCAACAAAAGATGTATGTATATGAAACGAAATCAATTAGTGCTAATTATTTTCACTTTACCTGCCCGCCCTACCCCTTCTTTGTTTGGAGTTAGCTAACGATACCCATTCAGGTTTCAAAGTTTCGACGTTTTCACTCAAATCAAACTTTAAGGTCTTCATCTTGCCACTGTCAATCACGTAGACTACGTCTTCGATGGTTATGGATGCTTCGGCAATATTTGTCGCAATTATTATTTTCCGTACACCTTCAGGTGGTTCTTTAAATATATTCTTTTGTTCCACTGTGGGCATGCGTGAGTGCAGCGGATATATGACATATTCATCTGCGTATAGATAAATTTGTATAAATATTAATATTACAATGTGAGCAGCAGTATAAATGCTTGAAGTCTACTTACTTCGTGGATATTCTACTCCAGTCAACAATTTATGAAGGTACGTAATGTCTTTTATACCAGGTAGAAAAACTAAAATAGCTCCTGGCGGTTTTGTATTACAAATGTACTTGATTAACTTTTCTATGAGTTCAAGAGACAACTTCTCGCTATTGGCATTCTTAAGTTGTTCAGTCACATATTCTGGATACTTTTCCTAAATTACAATGTGTAATTAATTTAACACAAACAAGAATAAAAGTGTCGAAGAATGAAAATTAAACATACATAGGCTACAGCATTTTGAATATACAAACTCGAAACATCATCTGCCTTTGTCCTAGCTTCCTTACTCTTTTCTATATAGTTATTAAATCTAAATCTGTAAATCAATTTCCATTATAATTCCTTTCCTTTACAAATTTCCAAGAAAAAAATGCAATAAAAAATCTTACCGGGTAATTTCTAACACATCTTCTAAATAAAGTTCTATTACCGGATAAGTGAAACCTGGGATATGAATCATTGGACAATCATTATAATATTTTGAAAAACTTTCAGGATTAAGTGTGGCACTCATGAGAAGGACTTTCAAGTCTGGTCTCTAAAATAATTGTTTTTTGTAACACAAAAATAAAATTTTTGAATATATTTTTAAAAAATTTATATACACGCTTAATTTGATTTCACTTACTTTCGTAATAATTAGTTTCAATAAAGCAATAGTAAAATCGCTTTCTGTTGTACGTTCGTGAATCTCATCTAAAATAACATGAGAGATATTATTTAGGGCAGGATCACGTTCCATGTATTTCAATAACATTCCATTAGTACAAAATGTTATGCTTCCCCTCTCTCTAGGCATTATTCTACAAGCAAAGGGAAGATATTATATTACAATGAACAAAAAATTAATAAAAATGTGAAAACATACCGTTCAAGTCTAATTTGAAAACCGACAGATACTCCAAGTTTCTCTGCTCTCTCAGCAGCAACTCTTTCAGCAACAGATATTGCAGATATCCTTCTAGGTTGAGTACACATAATTCTAGTAATACTACCATTGCGTTGCAATATTTGATCATCCAATATAAGCTGAACAACTTGCGTTGTTTTCCCACAACCTACAATATGATCATAATAATTTTTAATGTGATAGCATTAATTAGACGTTGTTATAGTTGTAAGTAGTATACATAAACTCACCAGTCTCACCACTTATTACAACAACTTGATTATTTCTTATTAACTCCAAAACTTCTAATCTTTTCTGATATGCAGGCAATTTTAATCGAAAATTTAACATATTCGCATATTCTGCTGACAATGATTTCCTTTCATATTCCTGTAGTAACTCTTCATCTAAACAACTATTCCGTTCTAATCCTGTTTTCCCAAGCACAGCTTTTTCAATGTTTTCTTGTATGTTACCACATACAATATTTAAAAACTTTCTTTTGAACTGTGAATCATATATGTGGCTATATCTTTTCTCTAATATACTATCTGAATTGTCTGTGTGTGCCACATTTTTGTATAATTTATCATAAAATCCCTTTGAGTTATCCAATACTCTTTCAATGTTATGTTGAATATTTCTTGGTAATCTAATGACTGACGTTTGTCTTTGTTTGTGCAATGCCCTGTCTCTGTAATAGAGACCTATTTCTTTCCCCTTTAACCATGGTGGTCTTCCTGGTCTTTCACCTCTTGCATGACCCTCATATTCTGAACTTCCAGATTGAGAGTTTTCAGCTTTATTCCCTAAAGTTATATTATCAAGTTAAATTCACATTAAAAATGTTTCTTTCTAATACATTCACTTTAAAAATTCAACTAAAGAAAATTTGTAATTTGTTATAACAAATATACTATATACAGTATATTTTATAACTATGCCTTATTATATAATTTGTTATAAAATTTCTTTGAACCATCAAATACTTTTTCATTCTAACACTGAATACATTCAGATAATTTCATACCTGAAATTTGTCTCTGTGATCGTTCTACATTTCCTCTGTCTCTGTAATAGTGACCTATATCTTTGCCTTTTAACCATGGTGGTCGTACTTGTCCTCCACCTCTTGCAAGAACTTCATGGTCAAAGCGTGAGCTTCCGGATTGAGAACTCTCAGCTTTATCCCCTAAAGTTATATGGTCAAGTTAAACACATATCAAATAATATTTTCCTTAATATATTCATTTTAAAAATCTAACCTAAGAACATTTTTTGTTCATGCAAAATTAAACAAACCTTTCTTTCGTTTAAACGATAAAACGATATTTCTCTGTAAAATTTTCATATCAAGAATAATTTGTTTATAGATTGAAAGTGACTGTAATTATAATTTCAAACATGACAGCATCAAAGTCGCCTCGTGTTGTTTAGACTTTACACAAGTAAGATGTCAAAACAAATACCACGTAACGGCCGGAACAATCGATGCCAACTCTTAAAAGTAATTTACGATTTTCTTCAAGATATAATAAAAGGGGACCAATTTGAGCTGTCAACGTCATCCCAAAGATTTCAAAATTATTCAGGAAATTTAGCATACCATGTTTGTTTCGTCGTTGATTCCCATACTCCGAAGATGTTTCATAAGGACGAGACATGTTTTCATCTTACTGAAGATATTCAATTACCGCTGGTTCTTGTTCTGCGTCACAAACTTTTCGGCTGCTTATATATACAGAGTGTTCCAAAAATGTCTCGCAATCCGGAGCCAATGAGCGGAACTGGGCTTCGTGCGCACGTTGGCTAGGCCGCCCGCGTCGGCCGAGCTCGCCTCTTATTGGTCAGTGTTTTTCGTTAATAACTTGTAAACAAAGCCACGAATTGCATTTTCGCTAAGAAAAAGGTTACTTCAAATGATCTCAGGAACCTCGCATTCCCAGATTGCGAGACATTCTTGAGACATCTTGTATATGCAGCACTTTGTTTAGAATCAGAATGCCATAAATATTCACTGAAAATTCTTATTCACCAGAAATACATGGTATGATTATATGATTTTTTTCTTACAACATTTTTTTGTTTCGATTATAAAATGTTTCTTCTTCAAAATTAACATTGGCAATGAATAAAAATATGGCAACATAGCAAATCAGCGTTGCTGCATATGTGTACAATATATATACATGCACATAAATACATAGCACCAAAGGTGCATCTTCACTAATGTATAGTTCACAGGCATTATATATATTTATGAACAGCTCACAAACTTTTTATACATAACTACATTATATGTACATACCTTGCTTTATGAAATGTTCGCAAACAGTATGCGAATAAATACGAGAATAGATGATTTGTAGGAAATTTGTTTCCCATACATAATTTATTATTTTTTAAGTTTCTTGCACGGTGTTACACACTGTGGTTTAGCATCACACTGAAACACAGAATCCGGTCTGTATATTTTTCTTCAGTGCATTCAGTATTTCATGAATGTAACCATGGTAACAAATGAAATCATGAACAATATGTTTAGTATTATCTTCTGTGTTTTATTATTAACCAGATTTCACAAGGTATATTGTGAAGATTTAGATATTGATACTAATGGGTATATTGTTTACTGTCCATGTATGGGTAAGATTGTATTAATTTATAATAGAGTCCTTACTATTACACTCGAATACTCAAAAATACTTAAGAACTCTTACTCATATTGTATTCTTAAAACAAAGATCTGATTNAATTATAATTTCAAACATGACAGCATCAAAGTCGCCTCGTGTTGTTTAGACTTTACACAAGTAAGATGTCAAAACAAATACCACGTAACGGCCGGAACAATCGATGCCAACTCTTAAAAGTAATTTACGATTTTCTTCAAGATATAATAAAAGGGGACCAATTTGAGCTGTCAACGTCATCCCAAAGATTTCAAAATTATTCAGGAAATTTAGCATACCATGTTTGTTTCGTCGTTGATTCCCATACTCCGAAGATGTTTCATAAGGACGAGACATGTTTTCATCTTACTGAAGATATTCAATTACCGCTGGTTCTTGTTCTGCGTCACAAACTTTTCGGCTGCTTATATATACAGAGTGTTCCAAAAATGTCTCGCAATCCGGAGCCAATGAGCGGAACTGGGCTTCGTGCGCACGTTGGCTAGGCCGCCCGCGTCGGCCGAGCTCGCCTCTTATTGGTCAGTGTTTTTCGTTAATAACTTGTAAACAAAGCCACGAATTGCATTTTCGCTAAGAAAAAGGTTACTTCAAATGATCTCAGGAACCTCGCATTCCCAGATTGCGAGACATTCTTGAGACATCTTGTATATGCAGCACTTTGTTTAGAATCAGAATGCCATAAATATTCACTGAAAATTCTTATTCACCAGAAATACATGGTATGATTATATGATTTTTTTCTTACAACATTTTTTTGTTTCGATTATAAAATGTTTCTTCTTCAAAATTAACATTGGCAATGAATAAAAATATGGCAACATAGCAAATCAGCGTTGCTGCATATGTGTACAATATATATACATGCACATAAATACATAGCACCAAAGGTGCATCTTCACTAATGTATAGTTCACAGGCATTATATATATTTATGAACAGCTCACAAACTTTTTATACATAACTACATTATATGTACATACCTTGCTTTATGAAATGTTCGCAAACAGTATGCGAATAAATACGAGAATAGATGATTTGTAGGAAATTTGTTTCCCATACATAATTTATTATTTTTTAAGTTTCTTGCACGGTGTTACACACTGTGGTTTAGCATCACACTGAAACACAGAATCCGGTCTGTATATTTTTCTTCAGTGCATTCAGTATTTCATGAATGTAACCATGGTAACAAATGAAATCATGAACAATATGTTTAGTATTATCTTCTGTGTTTTATTATTAACCAGATTTCACAAGGTATATTGTGAAGATTTAGATATTGATACTAATGGGTATATTGTTTACTGTCCATGTATGGGTAAGATTGTATTAATTTATAATAGAGTCCTTACTATTACACTCGAATACTCAAAAATACTTAAGAACTCTTACTCATATTGTATTCTTAAAACAAAGATCTGATTGTAATGAATATTATGAATATTTTGATACTCTAATAGCAAGAACTCTAGACTGCAATCATATCTTCTACAATAGATAATGATTTGTTTACGCTACTTATCTTGTTATTCACTTCAGGAAGATTTGGAAATCAAGCAGATCACTTTCTAGGTGCTTTAGGATTTGCTAAAGCAATAAATCGTACTCTGGTTTTACCACCATGGGTTGAATATAGGACAGGAGAGACTAGATCTGTTAGTAATTGCTTAATTTGAATATTTTAAAAAATAATAAAATGCTCATAATTAAATATTTTTAATTGTTTAGATACAAGTTCCTTTTGATACATATTTTAATGTCTCCCAAGTCCAAAGTTGCCATAAAGCAATGTTAATGGAAACTTTTATGAAAGATATTGCTCCAAGAATATGGCAACCTAAGGAAAGAGTATGTAAGTTTGTGATCTTAAAAGAAAGCATTAGATATTCTTCTGAGACATATTATTTTTAGCTTTTTGTTATTCTGCACGGGGTAAAGGAGACTCGTGTAATGCTAAAGAGGGAAATCCATTTGGACCTTTTTGGGACACTTACAACATTGATTTCGTGAAATCAGAATTTTATGGCCCATTTCACTATGATGTTTATCATACAGATATAGCTATACAGTGGAAGAAAAAATATCCTGCTATAAGTTGGCCAGTATTGGCATTTACTGGTGCACCTGCTAGCTTTCCTATTCAGCTAGAAAATAAACAATTGCAGAAATGTCTTCAATGGAATACAGAAATGCTTGATAAAGCAAAAGCATTTATAAAACAAACTTTACCAAAAGGGGCTTTCATAGGAATTCATTTACGTAATGGGATTGATTGGGTATGCACTTTTATTGTTTTTGTATCATCAATATATTATATAAATGTAGAATATTTTTTATAGGTTCGTGCTTGTGAATTTATATCCAGTACGCCAAATCTATTTGCTGCACCTCAATGTCTTGGTTATCGAAATGAAAGAGGGAAAGCAACTTCTGCTATGTGTCTACCATCATTTGAAGTAATAATACGTCATATTAAACGTGTGATTCGCAATGGTAATGACATCAAGTCAGTATTTGTGTCATCTGATAATAATTATATGATCAAAGAACTTGCAAAAGCTCTGGCACGTACGGAGGTGAGACATTTTTCAGTACATCTCAGAATAGTACATATATACATATACTTACATAAATATAAAAATATCTTAATATTTTTGTAGGTGTTAGTTTTTAAACAGGAATTACCTGCATCTCCCCATTTAGATTTAGCAATTCTTGGAAGGGCAAATTACTTTATAGGAAACTGTATCTCTTCTTTCTCAGCTTTTGTTGCAAGAGAAAGAGAAGTAAAGGGATATCCTACATTCTTTTTGGGCTTCCCCACCGAAAGATCATCTTCCACTAATCATGAAGAATTGTAGCAAAAAAAGACTTGCAATTATTTTGTGATATATTCTTTCTACCGAAGTATATTAAGCAGCAGGCAATAAAGTGAAATTTATATGACTTTGAACTTTTACTACATATAAGAATAAATATGCTTGTTATTTAAAAGCGTAGAACGAATATATAAATAAAAATGACAATTTGGTTGGACGAAATGGAGTACAAAATACTTTTGTTGTAATTAAAATAAGTGATCTAAGTAATTTATACTTTATACATATATACATATCATACACTTACAATCGTTTTCTACATCCACACATATTACTTAGACTATGTAACATCACCTAAGTTTATAATAATCTCGTAAATATTTCACATTCATTTGTATAAAATTTGATTCCTGTTTCGACCAGATTATTAGAGTCTTAATAGCTTTTATAATTTCATCTTTGTCAGATGACTTACTGTCGCCATTAGAGATACTTTCAGTTCTTTCTAAAGAATTTTCTTTAGTTTCCATGCATTTTGATAAAAAATCAGTGGATCGTTCCTCCTGCTCTTCACTGTCCATTATTTCTAAGTTTGATTCAAATAAATCCTCTGGATCCTGCATTCCTGGTACATCTGGGACTTGTTTAATCAATACCTTCCATGAATTTCGAATTTCTAAGATGTTCATTTCCAGCCATGCCTCGTGCAACAAATGAATGCAATCCTTAAGATCATAATTAGAGTAGAATTCTTGGATCCCATCAGGATAACTTGTTGCTATACTTAACATTTTATGACGATAAGATTTTTTTGTCTTCTCAAGTACTTGATCTATGGGTTGAAGCAGGTGGCTAGTGTTTGGGGGTAGAAATACAATCTGAAAACGTTCATCTTTTTGCAACTCTTTCAGGAACTGTAGATTATATCCGCGAGAATTATCCAAAATAAGAATAACTTTCCCACAGGTGCCATTGTGTAATTGATACTTCATCACATCTGGTTTAAAGTAATTTTGGTACCAATCAGCAAACACCATTTGATCCATAAATGCTTGTTGCTGAGCTTTGTAAATCACAGGCAGCCGATGTTTTGAATGTTTCAATACTCTTGGATTTTCAAATCTATTAATAAACAAAGGTGCAAGCTTGTGGCTTCCAGTTACATTAGTACACAGACCTATAGTCACCCTATCTTTATTCATATTTTTTTCTTCGATCCTTTTTTCACCACTGTGTGCAAAAATCTTCTTGGAAAGAGTCTTCCATGAGAGGCTGGTGGCATTCATATTATAAACATTTTCTTTGTCAATATCTTCTTCCTCTAATTGCCTAGCAAAAGTTTCTATAAATTGTTGTGCAGCTGCGACATTGGCATCAATGTTTTGTCCAAATAATCTAATACCATGGCGGTTCTTAAATCTCCATAGCCAGCCTCTACTGGCTTTAAAACTCGAAGGTCCTCCAATTTCCTTATTTACCTCTGCTGCTCTTTCTACCATGCGAACATCTGTGATAGGCTCACCAAGTGTCTTACGTTCTATAAACCATGTGTATAAACGATTATCCAATTCCTCATTTTCAGGCCTTCGCAAAGTTCTTCTATGTCCTTTGTCTACACCTTGATCAGTGAATTGGCTAACTGTCACTGCATTTCGTCTGATCCGACGAACTGTAACTGGAGTAACATTGTATTCAGTTGCCAATGTGCTAACGGGTACACCACTTTCCAAGTGTTGAACAATTTCAAGCCTCTGCTTCATTGAAAGTGGAGCTCTCCTCAATTTATTGTTACTTTCCATGCTTTAATGAAACTGTCAGTTTAAGGATAATGACACTATTTCTATAAAAGTTTCTATTTATATAAGGACCACTTGGAATCTTTTAGAAATATCTGTCAGAGTACTAACACTTTTAAGTTTGCTACTAAATTAAAAGTCGAAACTTCAAGCATTAACAACTGGGTAATTTTTGGTCTTTGACAGACCATATACTTTTAGAGTACAAATTTGTTTCTCCATTCTTAATAGCAATATGTAATCATGTCATAATTGACAACTCTGGTATTCATAGCCGGGCATAAAGTGCTGATCCACCCCACTATACAGCTACACGTAGTTGTCTAGTAGTTTAGTGTCTAGTGTCTAGTAGCCGATTGGTGGAATATGTGTCATTGTGTTAGATTAGAAAGAAGAAAATATAAGTACATACAGAGAGATCCATATGTACGTCCATACAGAGATTCCTCGCTAGTGAAGTATAAAGAGTGATACGGACAGAAGATATTTTATCTTTGATGTCATTAACTGATGACATGTTACTGCGACTGTGCTGCCTAGATAAGAAACGTCTGACTTTTTAATTCAAAAATAAACAAAATAAAAGAACAAAAAATTTAATGTGCCTTATTCGATAAATAAAAAGTTAATTGTGCTCGAAAACAAACTAAAGGCATAGCAAAATAGCAACTGGTCACCTCATAGTAACTGGCTTTGCTATACTACTGACCCTATCGCAGACAGAAATGAGTACATATGTGTATAGACTACTAAGGTCTACTCATGCTCATGCTGTCACAGGTCGTACGAGTTTCGATATTCAATAGTTTATTAGTTTTTAGTGAGTTGGTCATCGTCTCTGATAACATAATTTATCGGGAGATGTACATATTTTGTTGGTACGACTGCAAGGCAATGAACTCATAATTGAATTACCAAAATCGAACACGAGTGGAATGAGTGTGAATAGAAAGCTTTAATTAAAATATATAAAAACACCAAGGAGTTCCACTTTTCTTTTTAAGTATCGAACGGAACACGCGATTTTACGTTTATTCTTTAACCACTAATAACGCGCTCTTACAAATACGAAAGCTGCGAACTATACTGTAGGTGTGGTACGAGTAATATTTAACATTTATTAGCAATTCTCTTGTAGCTACTTTCATACACCAAACAGGTTATTTAACATATGTCAGATTCTCATTACCAAATTAGTGACTAATTGATAGACTTGGAAAAAGAACAAACTAAATGAAAAACGGTGTTAGACAATAACAAAACACGTGAAAATGCGGTGGTAGTGATGCGTTTAAAGGGGAAGAATAATACTAAATCCTTTCACGGCGTCTACAAGGTGCTTTCTCGTATATGTCGTAAGTATTCTGAATTCCAACGTTTAATTAATGAGCCCATCTCTTTCACATAATGTAGTTATTACACACACTATTGTAGTGAATTGGGAAAGTATACCTCAGTTTTTTGTTTAATGCAGTGTATATACTATTTAATACTTCATTATATGTGGAAATCATGTGGGAATTCAGAAATATTAGTAATTTCCCATTTAAAAATAATAAAAAATGAAGCAATAACGTCATAGTGAAGAAAATATATTAGTACATTGTTGAATTGTATAGTTACTGCATATTTTGGATCATATCATAATATAGGAGAAATATTAATACTTAAATCATAAGAAAAGCACTGTTCTCTCTTAGGATGTTTTCCAATAGATTTATTGTATTATATAGATCTAATTTTATAAATCTTAAATGATTTCTTTCTATTCTTATTAGTAAAGATAGTCATTTGAAATATTAGACTATTGTTTATAATAATATAGTTAATTTAAAAAGTAAATACATTAAGACTTTACATTACTATTTACTATCAGAAATTATTTGTTATTTTCTACTCATTAGGGACTGCAGATAAAGGACAACTTGATGGTTTCATGGCGGATGGTGCAGTGCCACCAATGAAGAATGGGCATAATTGTAACACAATGGGTTTTGCAACGCAAGTCGTGAAACAGACATCTGATGTGTCTAACATTGTTTATGCTGTAGGGCAGTATGCTCCAAAAGTGTTACGGAACTTGAATGCCCAAAGACAAAAAAACCAATTCAGTGATGTGGGTTTGGTTGCTGGTAGTAGCATTATTAGGGCTCATAGATCAGTTTTGGCTGCTGGAAGCCCATATTTTAATGCCATGTTTACCGGTGGCCTTGTGGAAGAGCAGCAGGAGTTAGTAGAGATTCATTCAGTGTCTGCTAATATTCTTTCCATCCTGGTGGATTTTATTTACACTGGCAATGTTGATGTTACCCAAGACAATGTTTTAGAATTATTTGCAGCTGCTGATATGTTAGAGATAGATGAAGTGGTAATGGGTTGCATTACATATTTAAGTCAACAACTCCACCCTTCAAATGCTCTTGGGATTTATAGGTGAGCTTAGCAAGGATGAATCGAAAGTGTTAAAATGTTCACAAAATCTTCCTGTTGAATAGATTTGCTGAAGCACATAACAGATTAGATCTTTTGAAGACTGCCCTACAATTTATAGAAGTCAATTTTCCTCAAGTATCACAAGAGGAGGAATTTTTGGATCTGCCGAAAGAACGTCTCGTTCGTTTACTCAGTAGCGATTATATTCATATCGATACAGAGTTTCAGGTGTGTATTTGTATGTACAAGGAAAATACAAATAAAATCAATAATGCTAATTACTGCGAATACGAAAACTAATAGTTTAAATAACTGTTATGGGTGATAGGTCTTCCAGGCTGCGTATAGCTGGATTATACATAATATATCGATGCGAAGATGTTATGTCTTCGAAATATTAAGTCACATACGTTTGCGACTGTGTTCATTAGCAAGATTGGAACGCGTCATATCGGAGTGTAAAGATGCGAGTCTGATTGTCGCGTTAAGATCAATACAAAAAGATTTAGCGTCGAATCAAGGATGTCTTGTGCCCCTTCATGCACAACCTAGGGTTTGCGCTAAAAAGAATATTTTAGTGATCGGCGGCTCACGAAGAGAGCACACAGCGTATAGTTGGGGAAAAGCTGCTGAAAGTACTTATCAAACGATTGAGAAATTTGATATATTCACGGGGTATTATTGTTTTCGAAGTTCATGAACTTTCAATTAATTACAACAATTGAAAGTAGTGTTAATTAAATATCACTCCTTGAATTTCTAAGTATAATTATTTTCATAGGAAATGGAGTGAAGTAGCCCCAATGAATATAGGACGAATACTACCAGGTGTAGCATTATTGGATGGTAAAGTGTACGTGGTTGGTGGAGAGCTTGAATCCTGCATCATTGCCAATTGCGAACGTTATGATCCATGTGATAACGTTTGGACTAAGAAGATAGCCTGTATGGTGGAACCCAGGTGTGAATTCGGTCTATGTGCCTTGGATAACAACTTATACGCGTTTGGTGGTTGGGTTGGTACCGATATCGGTGGATCCATAGAAATATATGATCCAAAAACCAACACTTGGACATTACATGGACAACTTCCTGCACCTAGATTTAGCATGGGAGTTGTTGCTTATGAAGGTAGAATGATTTAATACAAAATCGTTTCTTTATTTAATTATCATATTAATTGATTAATCTCTGGATTAGGATTAATCTATATAGTGGGCGGCTGTACACATAACAGCAGACATCGACAAGATGTGATGAGCTATAATCCAGTGACCAAAGAATGGAGAAACTTGGCTCCAATGCTCACACCACGTTCACAAATGGGAATCTCTATACTGGACGGATATATTTACGTTGTCGGTGGTATTAACAAAAATCAACAGGTTTTGTTATCCGTTGAACGATATTCTTTCGATGAGGTAATTTTGTCTCTAACTCGTTCATAAGTTATGCTTATTAGCAGAAAAAAATGTTCAAATTTGTTTTAGAATAAATGGAGTACTGTAGCGCCCATGAGCGTAGGGAGGTCGTATCCGGCAGTTGCAGCAGCCGATGGTAGATTATATGTTATAGGAGGTGATCAATCACACGAGATAAATTTTTATCGAACTCAGATCACAATATCCACTGTGGAATGTTACGATCCGCATTCGAATAAATGGCACGAGTGTGCTTCATTACCTACAAGTAGGGGTGAAGCAGCGGCAATTGTTGCACCCTTTTGATTGAAAATTGGTTTTAATATCGATGCAACGCGTTGAACGGATTTTATATCAAATTATACTCGTGCGCGTTTCATTTCGCATTCCAGAATGATACTCGAGCGTATATTATATTTGCTTAGTCGTAAACTTGATATCAAACAAGAAACATACACGTTTTTCGACTATCCTCTTTTATGTTGTATAAATAAATATCATTCAACGCGTATACAGACCCTCAAAAGTTCAGGATTACGTATTAATTCATGAGAATATACCTTCCATATCTAATAGATATATCTAATAAAGGGGATAGAGCAATACTAACAAAAGATACGAAATACTAGGTTTGTACTATCTACTATTCTTTTCGTATACCTTAAGTATTATTGGTAACAATATATGATGAATAAAAGATTTATAACAATGCAGATACTAGTCTGCTTTGATTTTTCGATGTTAGTGATGCCTTACTTGAAGATAAGTGTTTCTTCAGGGTTACAGATCCGTCAACTTTACAGATCTTCTAGGTAACATCAATTTCAGTCTATATATGTATCAACATTTTACATAATGATGGATGGGTTATTAGTAATTCCTGATGATTTCTTCTTAAATATATGACTGAGGTCATTAGAAAATTACATACCTTAAGTATTATTAGTGGTCCCAAGCTTTTGAGCAGATCTGTATACAATCTAGAATGTATTTTTTTTTTATATAGATTACGATGTTATAAAGTATTTAGATATCAGTAGCATTGTTATTTTCATTTTCTTAATGGATATAAGATGCAATAGGATTTGAGAAGAAAGAGAAATGTTTGATTAAATAAGTGCTATTTTCTGTGCCGTCGCTGGTAAATTATGTACACTGATTTTGTGAAAATGTTCATTATGTATATCTCGCGATGAAAATAGCCTATTACGACTTTAAAATATTAAAAAAAAACTTTTTAGCGTGAAAAGATTTTATTAGTGTAGAAATGACTGACAGCCTTCACATTCTATAGTCATTTACCAAAGTTATTGAGAATACAAAATGCAATGCTCTATTGTAAATTTGATTACACTACAACGAGAGATAAAAGGAGATATATTTCCGTATAGCCTGTGTACAAAGAAGGTAGCGACAAGAATGCAGTGAGATGTACGTAATTCTCCTTGAGAATTGTAAATTCCGATTACGCGTGCTTGTGATATTTATCAATTTCGTTTCCTTTTCCCTTGAATCTATTGTATACGTAAATTTAAGTTACTTATTCATTTAACTGGTGTAAGGAGTAACAAATACTTAATATCCTAATGATGTTAGGCTTCTTATTTTTTTCTTCTGAACTCGGTGAAAGCATTTTTGAAAGCGTGAACGATGTTTTATGGAATCACATATAACATAATTAATGTTACATCGAAAGATTTCGTTGAAAAGTTTTATTACGGTTGAGTATCATTTTCTCGAGATTGTGACTGGTGCTAATACCAAAATTGAAATTTACGAAATTACTTCATTATGCTGTACAGTTTAAGACCAAATATAATTTTCAAAAATCAAAGGCTTTGAACCTTGAAATTCTAGAAACATGCGACACGAATGTTCTATCTTCATAGTATATAAATTGCTCTTGCAAACTCATGCAGTAATAACAAGTACTTAGCTTGATCATTATTTTTACAAAATGTACATATTGTATCAATGTGATTCTATAATCAACTAACTCTTTACGTTTTAATAGTAATTAATGGCATAATATACTAATTAACAATTTTATGTACTTCTTATACCAAAGTTTTTTTTTGTAATGAATCATTTGTATGAAGATGGTATATATTAGCACTACGAGATAAATTATAGAAAAATAGCTAGTAGTTTTCATTTTTGTTGCACTAATACGGCTGCTCAGACAAAATATTATCCCCATGAACAGATACTGAATGTTATATATATGCTTTGTTCTATTCAAATATAACATTTGTTTATCATTATCTTTAATATCGTCGAATTATTCGTTTATAGAATATTTTGTTACAAATATACAAACAGTTTATTTCAAGTATATATTATCGTGTAACTTAGTAGTTGCCTTTCTACTGGTTTCACGTAGAAAACTCAACTTAAATTGATTACACATGTAACAGATATATTTTTTATTATTATCATATTTT